CTTATTGTGCGTCATTGAGGCCCGACGGCTTTGATTATTGTTCATTGTTTTAAGTTGTTAAGTTGTTATAAGTTTTGCTAGAACACTGCGATGGTACCGTACATATGCTGAAACATCTAAACAAATGTAAGTTCAAAACACTCTTATCTTTTAAGTTTATTTCCATTCATTTGACCAGTAACTCTCCAAAGACCACACCACAGGTCCACCTTTAGTGATCAGTAACAATCTATCTATTTTCTTCAGCAACCCATGCTGGCCGTAAAAGGCGACTATGCTCGTCGTAAGAGGCGACTAAAGGGATCGGGTGGTCAGGTTTGCTGACTTGGTTGACGCATGTCATCGATCCCAATTGCGCAGATCGATACTCATGATGTCAGTCACTGGATTGTCTGGTCCAGACTCGATTATTCACAGAAGGCGTCATATAGCTGGAATAGTGCTGAGTGCGGCGTTAAACAACAAACAAACAAACCAAAGATTCCTATTCGGCATTAAGTTGAGATATATCTGGAAGAATAGCCATCTAAGCTTATCCATATCCGTTTAAGTAACAGTTTACCAGACTGTGTTAATTAGTACAAAGATATGAAGGTCAATTTCATTCAACCCAATTCAACGACTCAGATGACGTCGATTCATTCAACTGGATTCAACGATTACTGCCGCTACTCTGAGACGGAAATTCATCTAATTTAAGTCAGAATCGAGCAGTGTTCCCTTTTCCAGTTTAAAACAAAGGATCGAAAAGTCTTCTTCATAGTCCCTGCGTCTCCGTTGTGCAGAACCTTCAAGAAAATATCTTAAATGACAATCGATACATAATTTATATAATATATTTTCTTATTGTTGATCATCTTTAAATTTAAAAACACACTTTGATTTCAATACAAGCAATTGGTTTAATTGTGTTTATTTTCAGTTTCAAAAAGAAGAAAGCAAAGAGAGCTTCACCGAAAGAAAGGGTTGCCATATATCGCCCAATGCCCCCGAAGCCCGAGGGCACCAAGAACGATTATTCAACTGCTGACGTCGAATTTGTAAATAGAGATCGTCAAACAAATGTCAAACAACCCCAGCATGGTGACGAAGTTAATGAAGGTGATTATGACGTGTTGTGGAAGTGGAATCCAATGCGGTTTAAGGTGGCGGAGACCCAAGGCGTGTACAGTCATCTGGTGATGACAAGCAGGATGAATGAGTGCCCGGACCCAGACCAGTATGACACGACGAGGCGGGTGTTGGCGGAACGACGGGCCAGGCCTGAGGAAGACTTGTATAACAAGATGGCCATACCTAATGTGTAGATACCAGCTATGAAAGCTCACCTGGTCATCATCCATCGTCAGTAATCCCCGTGTTTGAATACGTGCGATTGCTTTGCTATTCTTATGAAACGATTCCAGCGATGGGGAAACCTGCAGGTTCTGATGACATGGGCAGTACTTCTCGTGAACCATGTGCCGCAGCACCCATTACATCCCATTACGGGTCAGCCATTGCTCAGTTTCCGACAAGGGTCGAGTTCGCACAAACTTCACGCACGGCTCATTTGACTTCCGTGAGTTATACATAGGCTTATTATACACAGGTTCATTATCTGTAAAAAAAAACAGACACCCGCCACGATTACACCCCATATCGCCCACTGTATTCACATATACTATGATAGCTCACCTGCTTTGAATACATTCAGCTGCTTATCGGTGTCGTCGCTAATCTTAAGTGAGTGAGTGCAGCGAGGCAAAGACGAGTGCTCACATGACACTGGACGTATCTCTCGTGCAACACGTGCCGCAGCATTTCTACATGTGAAGTATTGGTACAAACGTCAAGCACGGTTCAGGTTTCATTTGACGTTCGTGAGTTAAAGACTCATTACCTTAACTGGCTGAAAAACAGACACGCGCCACTATTAGGCCGCATACCGGCCATTGGATTCACGTTTGACATGACCCGTGAAGCTCTGACGATACTGGTAGCCTCTAATTGCACTATTGTCATGGCGCATTTGTCGTAAGACCCCACAAAAGTCTACGTTTCTGGTATTTTGGTTTGCCCTAAACTGATGCGGCCACGCAAGTTTTGTCAATGGTGGCTTAAATAGCTAAAAGGCTCATCAGAACGCAATACAAGGCTACGTGCAGATTGTATTGCAAATCAATACTATTATAATAAAAGTTTCCGCGTAGGCCAGTTAGAGTTACCTGCCCTTGGTTTAAGTCTTGAAAATGCCGTTGAGAAAAAACGCAGGGGAGACCAGAAACGAGATTGTTTGGGAGGGACTTAAAGTTTGCTACTTCTTCACTTTCACATATGGATCACATCAATGGCGCTTTGTAATTTGTTTATGGCGCTGGATATTGTGTTCGCTTGTGTTCCCATATTTGTGATGCTTTTGAGTCACAGCAACTTGATACATGGAGTCAACGTTTAAACAACTTTGCACAACTCGTTCTTCAACGATACACGATGTGCATATTAGACTCTATAAAGTCAAGGTATTCAATGAAGTGTTTCAGTCTGCTGGTTTATAGCTGAAACGTATGTGGTAAATTGTATTCGAAGACGTATGGTAAAGAACATTTGCTCTGTATCTCTAAAACAACAACAGTCTGCTTTTTCCAACCGTTTATTGTGTCGTTCATATACAGTAAACTACGGTTATAACGAACTCAAAGGGACTTTAGTTCGTTATAACCGTAATTCGTTATAAGCATATATACAGCATAACTACAGCATATATTCGGGACTAAAAAGTCAGTTCGTTATACCCGTTAGTTCGTTATAACCGTGTTCGTTATAAACGTAGTTTACTGTACAGTACTTATGCACGTCACAACGTGTCGTTCATATACAGTACTTATGAACATCAATTTCGCTGCCATGTGACCGAACTCGTATATGGTGTAAACTTCACATTTAAAAAATATACATATTTGTTTTAAACACAATAAAACAAACGTATTCACAATACATCATGAATATATAAGTACTTTGTTAACTGACACTTAACATATAAGTTATGTAAGCTTTGGTAAGTTTATTCAGTGGCATCATGATGTTTCAGCATGATGTGATGCAGTTTTTATATCTCTCCCACATAGCACCATACCCGTGCTTCTTGGTTCCGCTTTACACACCAAGAATTAAGATCAGGCGAATATTGGATTCGAACTACGATCATGGGTTGCCCGCATCCCTAAGGTACGCAGCTCCGCATAGCGGATTCCGACACCAAAGACGCCTTGGCCATCTGTACCTGTGCTCCAGTTCCAGAAGTACCTACTTGTATTGACAATGTATCGCCAGTCGATATGTGCAACCCCTTTCGGTCATATGTTATACACAGCCGTACATTTTATTTACCATTGTGTTTTGACAGAATGAATATTGTGTTTAAAGTTTTGTGTTACACTTAGTTTGGACCTATGGAACATTTTACTCGGGCTCCAAACAAAACTGATTTGCAAACAGATGCATATGAACGGAAGCCTTTTGGGGCCATTTATTTTATACTTACTTGAAATTTCAAGATGTTATGTTGAAAGTTCAATATACTCTGTTGAAATTTCAAGATATAAAACTTCAACTTAGTATCTTGAAATTTCGAGAGAAAAAAAACAAAAAAACAAACGGCCCTAAAAGGCTTCCGTAGAAATGAGATGGGGGGTGGGGGTGGGGGGAGGAACTGTTCTCGTGTTTTACAAACAACAAATTGTTCACTGGGCATGCTGGTAGTGCCGTGTATACTGGGTATTACTCACATATAACTTACAAGGGATGGTCCAGTCGTCCTAGGCGCCGCAATTCTCTGTGTGCAGAGTTCCTTCCCTTGGATGTGCAAGGAATCTACGGTCGTGGGTTCGAGTCCCAGATTCGCTCTGGTTATGTCAATAGGTTTGTCAGCACCATTTCCATGTGTGTGGGTTTCATCATCGTGATGACGACTAGAAGACCCGCATCACGTCGGGCTTTACTCCCTCATCATTCAGCTGGTATAATAACTGAAATACTGCTGGAAGCGGAGCTACCCGTGAAGATGCGGATTAGAACTTATCTTCAGCAACTCATGCTTCACAGCCGAAAAAAATGCACTTTCCGTTTTACGGATCCTTTGCGGACACCTCCGGACACGTCGCGTGGTCAGGCTCGCTGACTTGGTTGATGCACGTCATTGTATCCCAATTGTGTATATAGATGTTAGTGATGTCAATCACTGGATTTTCTGGTCCAGTGATTGCGGCTAGGTAATATGTGCATGTATATTTGACGTGACATGTATCACTTCCTCAAAAGCTGAATTTTTCACTATTCCGCTGTGATTTCATGAAGATTTATAAGTGAAAAATATATATATATGAATTATTTGTTTGTATTTATTTTAAAACAACAGGAAAAAACATTAACACAGAAAAGGAGATAAAAAAACAACTCACTACTGCTGTGGACGCGTTTTATAAGCAATGGTAGCGCAAGGAGGTGGGGAGGGGTGGGTGAGGTGAAATGGGGTTTGACGTCGCTTTCAAGATTATTGCACTTATATGGTGACGTGCATGCACGTGTGTATGTGCGTGCGTGTGTATGTGGCTGCTTGTACTAGACCGGACTAATGCCGATTTAATAGTGCTAGCCCACTGAGATACCATGCCGCAGTTTAACATGGATACCCCACTCAGACACAGTAAACTGACTCCGAGCTGATAGTCCTGGTTTCATCCCCTAAAGAACATGTACCATCTTTTAAAGTCCTTTGTATATTCCTAACTAGTCCTATTAACTGCCGCCGTGTCTTTGAACCGTTTCATCATAAATTGGAGTAACACTGCCTGTTGCTAATCCGGGTACCCAGGATCATTTTTCTATAGTATCCAGTCCGCCATCTTGGAATAAGGCTATTCTTTTCACAGATTTGTTTTGAACCAGCATCTCAGGCACAACTAGAATATCAGATGATCTGTACCTACTCGGCACCGTCCACACACCTACAATGCTTGAACATAGCTTCTTTTGTCAGATGATCTGTACCTACTCGGCACCGTCCACACACCTACATTGCTTGAATATAGCTTCTTTTGTCAGATGATCTGTACCTACTCGGCACCGTCCACACACCTACATTGCTTGAATATAGCTTCTTTTGTCAGATGATCTGTACCTACTCGGCACCGTCCACACACCTACATTGCTTGAATAGAGCTTCTTTTGTCAGATGAACTGTACCTACTCGGCACCGTCCACACACCTTCAATGCTTGAATATAGCTTCTTTTGTCAGATGATCTGTACCTACTCGGCACCGTCCACACACCTACTTTGCTTAAATATAACTTCTTTTGTCAGATGATCTGTACCTACTCGGCACCGTCTACACACCTACATTGCTTGAATATAGCTTCTTTTGTCAGATGATCTGTACCTACTCGGCACCGTCCACAAACCTTCATTGCTTGAATATAGCTTCTTTTGTCAGATGATCTGTACCTACTCGGCACCGTCCACACACCTACATTGCTTGAATATAGCTTCTTTTGTCAGATGATCTGTACCTACTCGGCACCGTCCACACACCTACAATGCTTGAATATAGCTTCTTTTGTCAGATGATCTGTACCTACTCGGCACCGTCCACACACCTACATTGCTTGAATAGAGCTTCTTTTGTCAGATGATCTGTACCTACTCGGCACCGTCCACACACCTACATTGCTTGAATATAGCTTCTTTTGTCAGATGATCTGTACCTACTCGGCACCGTCCACACACCTACATTGCTTGAATAGATCTTCTTTTGTCAGATGATCTGTACCTACTCGGCACCGTCCACACACCTACATTGCTTGAATATAGCTTCTTTTGTCAGATGATCTGTACCTACTCGGCACCGTCCACACACCTTCATTGCTTGAATATAGCTTCTTTTGTCAGATGATCTGTACCTACTCGGCACCGTCCACACACCTACATTGCTTGAATATAGCTTCTTTTGTCAGATGATCTGTACCTACTCGGCACCGTCCACACACCTACATTGCTTGAATATAGCTTCTTTTGTCAGATGATCTGTACCTACTCGGCACCGTCTACATACGTACATAGCTTCACTATCGGTTGAAGGTCCCCTCTACGAAATCATCGATACATTGAACCAACCTCTGGTCGACATCCTTTTTTATATTCAGTCTGGGGTCACCGATAATGCTGCTTCTTGTTGAACTAGCAGCGGATGAGTCTGATAAGTAATAGTGAAACACATCGCCAGTGTCGAATTTATGTAAAATCGGTAAATCTCTCTGTTGTGGAGACAATTCTTCTGACGCTTCACAGGGACGAGGCAGATCGGGATGAAGCCCTTTTCCTGCGATCCCGTCATCAAGTGTCAATCCTGAAGTTTTAGACTTGAGTCTCGTACCACCCTCGCTTTCGGTATTGGAACATGAAATGTCATTGAATATGACGTGAGACCTTGACCTTGACTGACCTCTATTCCATGACCTCTGACCTGATGACCTTGACTTCGGAGTGGTGTAAGACGTCATATTCTGGTACGTGTCACCAGAGGTGGCTTGTGGCCGATCGTTGAAAGCCACGTGTGCAGACTGACGGTTGGTCGACTGACCATTGGAGGTGTCCGACTGTCTTGGAGCAGAGGAAGTTGGTGGATGGTATGCTTTCACAAACGACACATCCGATTCACCGACTTTCTGTACATACTGGTCAGATACAGACGGCAGCTGACGTTTGGTGACATCTGCGATAACTGTATCAGGTTGTATTGCCTGGCCACTTGCATCTTCAACAGCTTTTACTTCAATGGCTCCAGAGATAGCGTCTTCTACTGAGAGGATCCTGTCTGCAGCAGCGTTTGTCAAACCCGGTTCACCCAAGCGGTCTCCTAGCCATTCTCTTAACGATGACAAAGCGGGGTTTATATACTCAACCATGATATGAGCTTCTGGTGGAACTGTCGCGTTAGTTTTACATGACTGGCAGAGGTAAGTGCACGTGCGGCACTTCCCCCGCAAATAACAAAACAAAATGATAACAGTGAACAAGACAAAACAAGAAGCAAGAATATAGAAGTTGTCCTTGTATGAAGTCAGCATTTCCTTCAGTCCGTTTATCAAACCAGGCGAAGTGTTATCTGAAAACAAAGAGAAATTATATTTGCGACACAATGTACACTCCTACATGTTTCCAGTTTATCGCCGCTTTAAACACTGTTTCCGTTACAGCGTGGTGCGGTCCTTTGACTTTTACACTTTGGTTAAACCCACTAGCACAAAAGAAATATTTATAATCAGACCGAATTTGGCATTCCAACCAACAATCACATGATCTCCACGTACGTCGTAGGCATGGCGGGGGCACGGGTGGCCCAGTCGTCTAAGGCGCCGCGATTCGCTGTGCAGAGTTGCGTCCCTTGGGTACGCCAGAAACCTATGAGTGTGTTCGAATCCCGGTTCGCCACGATTATGGTTCTAGGTTTGTCAGCACCATACCCGTGCTTGTGGGTTTCACCTGAAGTGGTAAACGTCTGAGACCTGCATCACTTCGGGCGTTCCTCCCGGATTAAGCTGACGCGCCACGATATTACTTAATACTGTTAAAAGCGGCTTTAAACCCAACTCACTCAGTCACTTAGGCATGGCAAATGTGGCATTTGGAACGTGTGGGACGGCCACACGTGCCCTCGATTGAAAATGTACTTTGCAATCTAGTCTTGTCGAACACCGTGTGTTCACCGTATTTCCCTCAACAAAATACACTGTCGAAACACATTTGTCAGTTTTATTTGGAAGGAAAGCACGAATTGAGGCAGGCATTAATCACATTGTTATTTTGCAATCTATTGTTTCAACCCCGTGCCATTTTTTCATTATACAAATCGGGTGTATTATTATTATTATTATTATTATTATTATTATTATTATTATTATAATAATAACCTGCTCCATGACGTTCTTGACAACCAGGATAAAGACTCAGGCGTGTGACATTTGAAGACGGGCAGAAGGCACACTGGGTGTCCATTTCGGCCGAGCACGGTGTTGAAATGTACATGGAGGGTGGGCATATCCTAGCGCACGGGCTGCACGTGCTTCCGTCTCGTAAAAACTCTTCATGGGGGCAGTCTCGTGAAGGTTTGTCTGCAGAGGACGTTGGACTTGAAGAGTTGTCAGAGCGGTGTGCATCTGCTGGCTGAAGATCAGTCGGTATTTTCGTTTGGTTTTGTTCAGAAATGGCGGTTACTGTCGGTATCTGGAACAAAAAGAGAGTTTGGAAAATTCAAGCCATCGATTTTAAAGAAAAAAATCATATGAAATTATTTACAGTAATTTGTAATTGGTTTGGTTGGTTTGTTGTTTAACGCCGCACTCAGCAATATTCCAGCTGTATGACGGCGGTCTGTAAATAATTGAGTCTGGGCCAGACAATCCAGTGATTAATATCATGAGCATCGACCCACGCATTTGGGATCGATGACATGCATCAACCAAGTCAGCGAGCCTGACCACCCGATCCCGTTAGTCGCCTTCTACGACAAGCATAGTCACCTTTTACGGCAAGCATGGGTTGCTGAGGCCTATTCTACCCCGGAATCTTCACGGGTCCAGTAATTTGTAGTTACAGAAATAGAGTATATAGTAAATACAGAAATTTCAAAGATAATCTGATATAAATAAAATCATCATCATAAAAATTTGAATCATAATTCAGTATCAGACTTTCTTTTCATCGTCTAAATCCTATCAAGATGTACACATATATGAGAGGCATATGAGAGGATTTTCCATCGCACTTTATCGTTCCTAATTATACATAACCCTTAGACATAAGTAAAATATGTGAAGAGGTCATTCAAATGATCTGGATACTCTGTTAGTGTCATTGCAGTGACAAGTGTAAGGAATAAAACAAACGAATGACTTGATAGGGCGCCAACTTGTTGGATATACAGTAAGGATAGATTGGCGTCAACTTGTTGGATAGATAGACAGACAGATATATACGACATGTAGATAGCCTTAGCTGGTGTTTGAATACCAGCGGGCAACTGTGTTTAAAGGGTGTGTACTGTTATGAAATTTAATTCAATTGACACATATATATTATGAGAGCTTTAACGGCTATTGAATACAGCACATACATGATTAGAGTTATGTCCCTTTGGAATTGCACAACACACCGAGATGTTTATGCAATGTACGTGACACGTATCTCAATTTCAAAGGTCATCCAATGAACGTGCAACAAGTATACTCAATCTAAAATTAGCTCTCCGGAAAAACCACACACAGCTGATACATTACGGGTACGGCGTTAAACAGCAAAAGAACAAAACAAACAAATCATTGCACTAAAACTAATGCTTTTAGGTCATTTTTTACACAACATTCCAAAATACCTGATATGTGAGAATAAATGAGTATTTGAATTCGATAATAGAAATCACGTGTACGACAAAGATGAGCATATATTATTTCATAGATTGCATTATTTAAGAAAATGGACAAAAACGGTATTGGTGTTGTTTTTTTATTTTAAAAAATAAAACATTGAAACCCAAATGAAAAATACAGAATGCATGTAAATTGAAATGTCTTTGACTGTCGACCAGATATAAACAATCAACAAATATAACGCAAGATGAATCAACTCACCTGCATTTGACAAAATAGCAGCAACATTATCGCGGCAGAGAGCAGCGTTGTTGCACTTCCAGAGTGTGGCAGAGGTCCCATCCTGAACCGTGCTTGAAGTTACATGTAGAAGACGTGGCGGAATCACAGCATTTCTCTTCACCGAGCTCCCGTACTGACCCATTAATCGAAAACAGATCGATCAAACTCGGCCTGAGTTGGAGGGTTTGTTTACAAAGTGACGTGATCGTTGCAGTGCGAATGACTGCGCTCCTGACTGATTGCGTTAACACTTTCAGCAGGGTATTCCCCATTTTCTTCATTTTCCCGCGTTTTAATGGCCTCGCTTTGAGAATGCGAAATGTGATATCTAAAACTGGCCCCTAAGAGAGATGAGCACTCTCTTCGATGACGTCTAGTTCAACCGCCCCAGGAAGGCAGAGAGTAACACACAAACATGGTGTCCTGCTATGTCTGCAGTAATATTTGTGTTAGTACATTCGTCAAAGAATAACACAAAACAATATACTTCAGTATCTTTTAAATGTTATTATCACAGATAGAATCAAACTGTTATGTAAGTGACTGATTGCCAGGAAAATCATAATGTTTATGTTACGTTTGTTAATTATGCTCAAAAATACACAAGGATACTATGTATTAACAACAATATGATACAACTTTTACAAACTGTCAACATCACAGATATTGTTTTCATGCATTTACAAAGATGTTATTACGTTACAGTTCCATTAATTTCAACAGGCATGAATTATGTGATTAAAGGGGAAATATAGGTTATTAACTGAGGATCATGATCATGTTGATGAGTTTGCCATATCATGATTAAAAAATCATGATAGTGTTGAGCCCCATATTTAATTTAAGTCATGTGTATCTGTTAAAAGAATACATGTTATATATTTAGTTGTGTCAGCAAGATAGTCCAACCATGCACGAACATCCACCAGGGCAAAATTTCCATCATTGTTATCAAAATTCCTCTCCACTATCGCTGGACAATAGTTGGTACTCTTCATTAGGAATATTTAAGTAGTCTCCATCAAAATATGTGTTAAAATCATTCCATTCATAGTCTAATGTCGTGTCAGTACCTTTTGAAACTATACTTTCTGTATCTGCACATGTATAGATATTATGCCACATTTGGAAGACAGGGAGTACAATGCAAACTGTATATACAGATGATTATTTCATATCTGTATGTTTACAAATATATCACTTTCTTAATCCAATCAAGAAACAATAAAAAGAAGTATCTCCCTGGCATTACCTTGCAATAAAAGTCTAAAAATGTATGGCAATTTGGAGCAGACGACAGTTTTCCATTTCCAACCAATCCGGCGTCTTGGTTTGGTCACGTGACCTAAACACGTCATTATGGGGGCAGAATCAACTAGTGGCTTCTGAATTTTTTTCTTCATTTGCACAGGATACAAGTGCCAATACAATTTAATAAATTGTTTACTTAATTATCCCACAAGACTGTAGTAATGACAGTTTGTTTTTAGCACTTGTGGGATAGAAAGATCCTGGACAAGAAGTATGTGACCCTCCAGTCACATCGTTTACCCCTAATGAAGAACTGTCCATTTGAATAGATGATATCATTATATTTACACAAAACAAAGACGATATATTTGACCTCGGGTGACAGGTCTTTCACCACGATCACAGATATCAGCGATAAAGTGTAAACTGTTGACACAAAGTGAATTCCAGAACCAGCTATTTCTGAATGAAATGTTTCAGAAAGGGTGATGCTCTTTAACCAACCAGATTGCTACACTATACTAAAGCTCCACCTTTTTCTGTGATTGACTCTTTTCCAAATACACCAACAACCAATACAAAATGTAGAATAATGCTTTATATGGCTTGAGATAAAAAGATCCTGATATTGAAGTTGAACTACAGGGAAAAACTGTACAACCGGAAGTGTGAACATATTACTTTTGGACCGTTTACTGGAGCCAGGCTGTATCATTATATCATGATAATTACTTATAATTGGAGGTGGACCTATGATGAATTCATATGTGAAAAAGTAAGGGCTTCTTTTATTTTAACTTCTAAGTAAATAAGATATTTCTAATGACACCACTTTCTTGTTGATCAGTGGTGTTTCAACCTGGTATCAAATTACATTCTCCATAGGCGCTGTAGAACCAGAACGAGGCGGGATCCCCCTGCTATAAGCAGGCTTTACTAATAAAAGTGTAAGCTTATGAGTGATTTTTCTTGGTTTTCACTCCTGAGCTTAGTGGGTCTTGGAGTAGCCTCCCTTTGCCCACGAGGCGCCAATAACATTGCAAAGGTAACGAAGCGTATATAAAATCCTTTGTCTAGTTTCAAGTACTGATGATATGGTCCTGATTTGTTTCTTTGATGTTTAACGACACACTCGGCAATATTCCAGCTCTATGACGAAGTCATGTAAATAATTGAGTCCGGAACAGATAAATCAGTGATTGATATCATGAGCAACGGTCTACGTCGTCGGGGTACGATGACACGCACTCAACCACGTAGCCGAGCCTGACCACCGATTCATTTGGTCGCCTCTTACAACCAGCCTACCTTTAACGTGCCCAGTTCTATCCCGGAATCCCCCCTGAGGCCTTATGATTGTAGTTTGGTTGGAATAGGTTTGTCATTGTTTGTCTATGCATAGCAAGAATCTTAGCTGCCGATAAAGCATAAATATGAGGTGTTTGTTTTTTTCCTGATATCTCTAATCGCCCGACATGGGTACAATATGTGAAGCCCATTTCTGGTGACCCCCGCCGTGATATTGCTGGAATATTGCTAAAAGCGGCGTAAAACCATACGCACTCACTCACTCTAATCGCCATCTTCTCACACACTACATTCGCAAATGTTCAAACATTTCTTATCTCCTGTAACCAGTGATTATGTTGAAAAAGCCGAGGAGAGACTTACTGAGGATCGAGTTGTTATATTGTTATCATGACCATCTTTGCTCATGTTATCAACCACTCGATTAGATTTTTACAGGTATGTGGTGACGCTGGGATAGTGCTGACTCAGGTGTATAAAACATTCACCTATTTCACTTCTAGTTGACGACGACCTGTCATATTCTAATCTGGGTCAGACAAACCATTGATTGATATTATGAGCAACGTCTCTAACCGTCGGCGAGCCTGACCACCCGATCCATTAGATCGCTCTTACAACCGGCATATATGGCTGGAGATTAACTCTAACACTGAACAAGCACTTTTGACTCTCACGAATTGCAGATGACTATCACATCGTGAGACCGCCGTCAAAACAATGCTGCCGACATTGATCGATGTTCATGCTATCACCCACAGGTTTTCTGTTACTCAGTATTAACCGGTCGGCTTGATGTAGCTGGAATATTGTTGGCTGCTGCATGAAACAACACATTCACTCTAACACTGTGGGGGGCACGGGTGGCCCAGCCGTCTCAGGCGCCGCAATTCGCTGGGCACTCCAGAAACCTGTGATTGTGGCTTAATCAATCACGCACTGCCAAGCATTATTATGTGATGACCAACCCTTCGCTTGCTATTACCTTATAATGTACTGCCAGTTCTACTGATCAGAAAGGGGACACGGGTGGCCCAGTCGTCTAAGGCGCCGCGATTCGCTGTGCAGAGTTGCGTCCCTTGGGCACGCCAGAAATCTATGATTGTAGGTTCAAATCCCGTTTCACCCCGATTATGTTTCTAGGTTTGTCAGCACCATACCCGTGCTCGTTGGTTTCACCGAAGTGGTAAACGTCTGAGACCTGCATCACTTCAGGCTTTCCTCCCACATTAAGCTGACACGCCGTGATAAAACTGGAATACTGTTAAAAGCGGCGTTAAACCCAGCTCACTCACTCACTCTAATATGATGTAACACCCAATTCAGATGCTGAGGCTGTAAGTTTCAGGCGTAGAAGTCGAACAGATTTCCCTTAAAAACGACTTAGCATTGGTTCGCGCATTTTCGCCCTTGATGTGTTTTAGCGACCGAATTCCTCCCCAGGCTGTTTACGCAAATGCCATTCATAATGTTAGAGTGAGCTAATTAAAGTGAGATAATGCTTATCAAAATATATTTTCATTCAGAGTTAGACACGAGACACCTGTTCAACTGAATATCTGTACAAACACAATCTGCCCTTGCCCGGGGAAACCTAATTATGTTAGAGTAAATAATTAGATTTAAACATGAAAAACGTATATCGTGCCCGAATTTAAGTGACATTTGTAAATCTGGTTGTTTTGATGTAAGTGTTTGTAACCTGAACAGACAGGCCAGCCAGAAACATGGGTTATACCCAATTATTTTACGTGGTTATCTCCCTTTACCCGTAAAGTGAACATGATATTAAAGTGCACAACGACATTAAAACTGATTGCAACAATGTGAAGATGAAGACTGTTTAACAGCAATGGGAGCCCAGAGACTGGACCCCCGTACACTGTAGGTCGGTCAAGTGGACACTCGTGTTCCCTATCACTCATTAAGGAAAAGAATGTGGGAAAGACAGGTGTTTGTTTTGTCAAAAAACAGACATAAGTTTTAATTTGAAATCGATTTGGCCGTATTTGCAAGGAATTCAGTGGTGACTTCTTTTGCCTCTGGGCTTTCCCCCTTATGGCTTCGGGGTTCAGTTCCCTGTGAATAATTTTTTTATGCTCGTGCTTCGCGGCTCTGTTCCCTGTGGCTATGCTCCTTCTCCGGGGCTCTGTTCCCTGTGGCTATGCTCTTTCCCTGGGATTCTGTTCCCTGTGGCTATGCTCTTTCCCTGGGATTCTGTTCCCTGTGGCTATGCTCTTGCTTCGGGGCTCTGTTCCCTGTGGCTATGCTCTTTCCCTGGGATTCTGTTCCCTGTGGCTATGCTCTTGCTTCGGGGTTCTGTTCCCTGTGGCTATGCTCTTGCTTCGGGGTTCAGTTCCCTGTGGCTATGCTCTTGCTTCGGGGTTCTGTTCCCTGTGGCTATGCTCTTTCTCTGGGATTCTGTTCCCTGTGGCTATGCTCTTGCTTCGGGGCTCTGTTCCTTGTGGCTATGCTCTTTCCCTGGGATTCTGTTCCCTGTGGCTATGCTCTTGCTTCGGGGTTCTGTTCCCTGTGGCTATGCTCTTGCTTCGGGGTTCAGTTCCCTGTGGCTATGCTCTTGCTTCGGGGTTCTGTTCGCTGTGGCTATGCTCTTTCTCCGGGATTCTTTTCCCTGTGGCTATGCTCTTGCTTCGGGGTTCTGTTCCCTGTGGCTATGCTCTTGCTTCGGGGTTCTGTGTCCTGTGGATATGCCCTTCTGGTCTTCTGTTCCCTGTAGCTATGCCCTTTCTCTGGGATTCTGTTCCCTGTGGCTATGCTCTTGCTTCGGGGCTCTGTTCCCTGTGGCTATGCTCTTTCTCTGGGGTTCTGTGTCCTTTAGCTATGCTCTTTCTCCGGGGTTCTGTGTCCTGTGGCTATGCTCTTCTGGGGTTCTTTGTCCTGTGGCTATGCTCTTTCTTCGGGGCTCTGTTCCCTGTGGCTATGCTCTTTCTCTGGAATTCTGTTCCCTGAGGCTATGCTCTTTCATCGGGGCCCTGTGGCTATGCTCTTTTCCTGGGATTCTGTTCCCTGTGGCTATGCTCTTGCTTCGGGGCTCTGTTCCCTGTGGTTATGCTCTTTCCCTGGGATCCTGTTCCTTGTGGCTATGCTCTTGATTCGGGGTTCTGTTCCCTGTAGCTATGCTCTTTCTCCGGGGTTCTGTGTCCTGTGGCTATGCTCCTTCTCCGGGGTTCTGTTCCCTGTGGCTATGCTCTTTCTCCGGGGTTCTGTGTCCTGTGGCTATGCTCCTTCTCCGGGGTTCTGTTCCCTGTGGCTATGCTCTTTCTCCGGGGTTCTGTGTCCTGTGGCTATGCTCCTTCTCCGGGGTTCTGTTCCCTGTGGCTATGCTCTTTCTCCGGGGTTCTGTGTCCTTTAGCTATGCTCTTTCTCCGGGGTTCTGTTCCATGTTGCTATGCTCTTCTGGGGTTCTTTGTCCTGTGGCTATGCTCTTTCTTCGGGGCTCTGTTCCCTGTGGCTATGCTCTTTCTCTGGAATTCTGTTCCCTGTGGCTATGCTCTTTCATCGGGGCTCTGTTCCCCGTGGCTATACTCTTTCTCTGGGATTCTGTTCCCTGTGGCTATGCTCTTCTCTTTCTCTGGGATTCTGTTCCCTGATGCTCTTGCTTCGGGGCTTTGTTCCCTGCGGCTATGCTCTTTCCCTGGGATTCTGTTCCCCCGTGGCTATGCTCTTTCCCTGGGATCCTGTTCCCTGTGGCTATGCTCTTTCTCCGGGGTTCTGTGTCCTGTGGCTATGCACTTTCTCCGGGGTTCTGTTCCATGTGGCTATGCTCTTTCTTCGGGGTTCTGTTCCCTGTGGCTATGCTCTTTCTCCGGGGTTCTGTTCCATGTGGCTATGCTCTCCTGGGGTTCTGTGTCCTGTGGCTATGCTCTTTCTCCGGGGTTCCGTTCCATGTGGCTATGCTCTCCTGGGGTTCTGTGTCCTGTGGCTATGCTCTTTCTCCGGGGCTTTGTTCCCTGTGGCTATGCTTTTGCTTCGGGGTTCGGTGTCCTGTGGCTATGCTCTTTCTCCGGGGTTCTGTTCCCTGTAGCTATGCTTTTGCTTCGGGGTTCTGTTCCCTGTGGCTATGCTCTTTCTCCGGGGTTCTGTGTCCTGTGGCTATGCTCTTCTGGGGTTCTGTGTCCTGTGGCTATGCTCTTTCTCCGGGGTTCTGTTCCCTGTGGCTATGCTCTTTCTTCGGGATTCTGTTTTCTGTGGCTATGCTCTTTCTTCGGGGCTCTGTTCCCTGTGGCTGTGCTCTTTCTCCGAGGCTTTGTTCCCTGTCTCTATGGTTCTGTATCTTGCGTGACTCTTCAACTTGACCCTGTACACTTAAGACTGGATTCCCACATATACAAATTCATGACGTTACTAAAGTGGGAAGCATAATGAACCACGATATCCCGAGGACACTATATGCGAACACACGTGAGTGAGTGAGTGAGTGTGGTTCATCGCCACTTTGAACAGTATTTCACTTATATCACGGCGTGTCAGCTTGGTGTGGGAGGAAAACCCAAAGTAGCACACATTTTAGACGTTAACCAGTTTGGTGAATCCACGAGCACAGGTTTGGTACTGACAAACCAAGAAACGGGGATTCGAACATACGACTATAGGTTTCTGGAATGTTTGTTTGTTTGTTGTTTAACGTCGCACTCAGCAATATTCCAGCTATATGACGGCGGTCTATAAATACTCAAGTTTGGATCAGACAATCCAGTGATTGACACCATGAGCTTCGATCCACGCAATTGGGATACGATGACATGCATCAACCAAGTCAGCGAGCCTGACCATCCGATCCCGGATCTTCACGGGTAGGTTTCTGAAATGAAGTGACACAGCTCTACACATCGCACATATGAAGGGAACTTTTTTAATGGTATATATTTAAACCCTATATTTATAAAAAAAATAACATTAACTTATTGCCATCAACTAGGTTTAAAACTAGGAATCACTCACTTCCTGTTGAGAGAGGTCGATGGCTAGATCTACCCCATGTTGATGGGATGTCCACTTTGTAATACTTCTGTCGGTGACGGTTTCAAGACTTGCTTGAGTGTACACACCACAGGAAACTGATCGTCAGCGCTTTCTTTAAACTTATTGTGTCAAGCTTGATTACCATAAACTACATCAACTATTTTTACTCCGAAAGAAACCTCAGCAGATCTGTCTCCCGTATACTTAAAAAAGTTCTAATGTATACTCTCATACGCATGCGAATGTCTCTGCTGTTCAAATGACCCTCTTGCATTTATGTCCATGTACCACTGGGAGTGGTTATTTATGAAAAAAACAATGTCAATGTCAATTAAAACATGAGCAATTCCCGCCATCAGGCACGATATCACGCAATCAGCCTTAAAGTCTTTTTAGTCTTTTTTTACGACAAGCATAAGATGGCGACCCTTTGATAATCTGAGGTGAGGGCTTGGGATTTATTTTTCTCAAATATATTGTCCCTGAAAATTCTTGAAAAAAATAATGATGCTTTATATTGTTGGGGGGTTAAAGAAATTGTCTGGCACAAAAATGACATTGTTACAATGTGCCAAAATATTTTGGCTCATAGTTTTAATTTTAAATGTTTAAATGTTTTTGTAGCACGGGTGGCCTAGGCTTTGTGCAGAGTTGCGTCCCTTGGGCACGCCAGGAACCTATGTTTGTGGGTTCGAATGCCGTTTCGACCCAATTATGTTTCTAGATAGTGGGCTTCACCAAGGTGGTATATGTCTGAGATCTGCATCATTTCGGGCTTTCCTCCCACAATAAACTAACACGCCATGATATAACTGGAATAATTATTGATTATTGTTTGAAAGTTATTAAACCCCACTAACTCACTGCGACATCCATGGGATATTGGGGACACATGGGGACCTAGTCATGTTATAGGAAAGCGGGGTTCGGCAGAGCCTTCAATGTCCATCTTGACTGAGTTTACCACAAGGGCAGCACGACCATGCTCGCTCAAGGAGTGTTTCCTGAAATGCAGTCTGGAATCTGGTGTTCACATTTAGATGTGGTAATAAGTGTTATTTCCTGTTTTCAATGTTTATCTCATCGGTACACATGCAGTAACACACATAATCTAGTGATGGCGTTACAGCCAGGCACGTGATCAGTCGATGTCGCCATGTCTGATACAGTCATGGCAACGCCTTTGATCAGCTCTCGACAGTTTCCGCCACTCTACGGAAAACTCAAAAGAAACAAAACGCGTGGCGTTATATTTTTTGTCATGTAATTCTACCGTAATGTGAACAGCATTGCACTTTTAGAACATATTTTTTACACAATAAAGGTCCAAGTGGTTATTTAGTTACCGCCTGAAAGGTGACTAAAAACCCAAGGAAATTAAACCTTTAACATACAAGAGCCATTAAAATAAAAGAGGGTGGTCCCTCAATCGAAACCTCGTCACAGAGCTATATCCACAAAAGCTTGAGTTAACTGAGCAACAATCAAGGCAAGAAGTCAGTAAAATAAGAAGGGTAATGTGACCTTTGGACAATCGACAACAATTGCAAGGGCTCAACATTAAAAGCCATCCATGATGATACCAGCACAACACTAGGGAAGGATGCCTCTTCCTATACCACTGTAAACAGGTATGAGTCTAATCGTGACAGTGAGAACCTTGAAGACGACCCCATCCTGGAAGGCCTGTGCATCGGCAACGTAAGAAATGATCCAAAGAATCCACGACATGGAGATGACGACTGGCGAATGAGTGAGTGTCCTATTGCTAGCTCAGTAGGCATTTCCCAGGAGAGGTGAGGTGAGGTGAAATGGGGTTTAACGTCGCGTCCAAGATTATTGCACTTATATAGCGACGTGCATGTACGTGTGTGTGTTTGTGTGGCTGCTTGTACTAGTCCGGACCGATGCCGATTTATAGTGCTAGTTCACTGAGATACAATGCCGCAGTTTAACATGAATACCCCACTCAGACACAGTATACTGACTCCGAGCAGACCAGTCCTTGTTTAGCCCCTTAATGCAAAGCGCCAGACAGGGTAACAACAAGTACCATCTTTTAACGTCTGTTGGTATGACGCGGTCGGGGATCGAACCCTGGACCTTCCGCTCTCCGGGCGGACGCTCTACCACTAGACTACGGAGGCGGTCTCCAAGGAGTGAGTACCTTCCATTATCACATAAACGTTGGCAATTAAGCTGTTTGGGTTCCAAAGCTTCTGACTTTTGATAAAAATGGCACTAACCCTTCACAAGCCACAACCCGTCCCCACCACTAGCCCTTCCTCACCACCAACCTTCCCTACACCGACCTTGCTCACCAACAACCCTTCTCCACCAACAACCCTTCCCCACCACCAACCTTTACCACCACCAACCCTTCCCCACCACCAACCCTCCCCACCACCAACCTCCGCCACCAACCCTCCCCCACCAACAACCCTTCTCCACCAACAACCCTTCCCCACCACCAACCTTCACAACCACCAACCCTCCCCACCACCAACCCTTCTCCACCAACAACCCTTCCCCACCACCAACCTTCACCACCACCAACCCTTCCCACCACCAACCCTTCCCCACCAACAACCCTTCTCCACCAACAACCCTTCCCCACCACCAACCTTCACCGCCACCAACCCTTCCCACCACCAACCCTTCCCAACCAACAACCCTTCTCCACCAACAACCCTTCCCCACCACCAACCTTCACCGCCACCAACCCTTCCCACCACCAACCCTTCCCAACCAACAACCCTTCTCCACCAACAACCCTTCCCCACCATCAACCTTCACCACCACCAACCCTTCTCCACCACCAACCTTCCCAAAAACCAACTCTTCCCCACCACCAACCCTTCCCCACCAACAACCCTTCCCCACCACCAACCCTTTCCCACCACCAACCTTCCCCATCACCAACTCTTCCCCACCACCAACCCTTCCCCACCAACAACCCTTCCCCACCACCAACCCTTTCCCACCACCAACCCTTCTCCACCACCAACCTTCCCCAAAACCAACCCTTCCCCTCCACCAACCTTCCCCACCACCCACCCTTCTCAACCACCAACCCTTCCCCACCACCAACCCTTCCCCACCACCAACCTTCCCCACCACCAACTCTTCCCCACCACCAACTCTTCCCCACCACCAACTCTTCCCCACCACCAACCTTCCCAACCACCAACCCTCCCCACCACCAACCCTTCTCCACCACCAACTCTTCCCCACCACCAACCCTTCCCCACCACCAACTCTTCCCCACCACCAACCTTCCCCACCACCAACTCTTCCCCACCACCAACTCTTCCCCACCACCAACTCTTCCCCACCACCAACCTTCCCAACCACCAACCCTCCCCACCACCAACCCTTCCCCACCACCAACCCTTCTCAACCACCAACCCTTCCCCACCACCAACCCTTCCCCACCACCAACCTTCCCCACCACCAACTCTTCCCCACCACCAACTCTTCCCCACCACCAACTCTTCCCCACCACCAACCTTCCCAACCACCAACCCTCCCCACCACCAACCCTTCTCCACCACCAACTCTTCCCCACCACCAACTCTTCCCCACCACCAACTCTTCCCCACCACCAACCTTCCCCACCACCAACCCTCCCCACCACCAACCTTCCGCAACCAACCCTCCCCACCACCAACCCTTCCCAGCCACCAACCCTTCCCCAACACCAACCCTTCCCCAAAACCAACCTTCTCTACCACCAACTCTTCCCCACCAACAACCCTTTCCCCACCACTAACCCTCCCCGTCACCAACCTTCCGCAACCAACCCTCCCCACCACCAAACCTCCACCACCAACCCTTCCCCACACAAACCCGTTCCCACCACCAACCCTCCCCATCACCAGCCTTTCATAACCAACCCTTCCCCATCACCAACCCCTCCCCACCACCAACCCTTCCCCACCATCAACCTTTCCCCACCACCAACCGTTCCCCACCACCCACCCTTCCCCACCACCAACCTTCCCTACCACCAACTCTTCCCCACCACCAACCCTTTCCCCACCACTAACCCTCCCCGTCACCAACTTTCCGCAACCAACCCTCCCACCACCAAACCTCCACCACCAACCCTTCCCCACACAAACCCGTTCCAACCACCAACCCTCCCCATCACCAGCCTTTCACCACCAACCCTTCCCCATCACCAACCCCTCCCCACCACTAACCCTTCCCCACCATCAACCTTTCCCCACCACCAACCGTTCCCCACCACCCACCCTTCCCAAACAACCAACCCTTCCCCACCACCGACAACCCTTCCCCACCACCAACCCTTTCCCACCACCGACAACCCTTCCCCACCACCAACCCTTCCCCACCACCAATCTTCCGCCACCAAACTTCTCCACCACAAACCCTTCACTAGAACCAACTTTCCCCACAACCAACCCTTCCCCACCACCAACCCACCTCACCACCAACCCTTCCCCACCACCAACCCTTCCCCATCACCAACCTTCCACCACCAACCCTTTCCCACCAACAATACTTCCCCACCACCAACCTTCCCCACCACCAACCCTTTCCCACCAACAATACTTCCCCACCATCAACCCTTCCCCACCACCAACCTTAACCACCACCAACCCTCCCCCACCACCAACCTTCCCCACCACCAACCCTTCCCCGCAACCAAACCTTCCCCAAAACCAACCCTTTCCAACACCAACCTTTCCCACAACCAACCTTTCCCAACGACCACTACTCGACACAAGAATCTCAAGAATATTTAATGGCGAGTGTCTTAGTACAAATAAAACCGTAGTTAAACCTGGTGTGTTAAAGAGATATCTCACAGTGTCACATCGGTTCAAGACATTACTCTCCTTTTTGTGCTTTTAGCAAGTTATTTCAGTGGAGATATATCAAGCTAATGGGATACTTGTTGTCAAGAGTCAACCGAAGTAGAAGACAATTAGACAATCTATACAAATAACGGTATTGTTCGTAGAAGGATCGATCAATCACTGCATCTCAAGCAGCATTCTTCATCTTATCACCAAAGAAAAAAGTCTTATTTGCGATTCTAATTTAAATGCATCTAATGCATTTTTTCCTGGGTGAAACATGGGTCCTTAGGGAATTTATTTTCAGGACAATGCGAAATGTAGGCTACATATGAAGTTTGTACTGAAACTCCAGATACATGTACATGGACACCACGACATCAGCTGGGATGCAGAATTCGAAGCCGATCCAGAGGTTATTCATTGGGTTAAACCTCCCCCTTTTTAAATAACGTGAACCTACACATCCACACGCGCGCACATTGAGTTCGTGAATACCCTCCCCATTTATAAAATCGTTAATGTGGTAGTAGTAGTAGTAGTGGTGAGGTGAGGTGAAATGGGGTTTAACGTCGCGTCTAAGATTATTGCACTTATATAGCGACATGCATGCACGTGTATGTGTGTGTGGCTGCTTGTACTAGTCCGGACTGATGCCGATTTATAGTGCTAGCTCACTGAGATACCATGCCGTAGTTTAACATGGATACCCCACTCAGACACAATATTCTGAATCCGAGCCGACCAGGCCTTGTTTTAGCCCCTTAATGCCGAGCTCCAGACAGGGTAACAACAAGTTTCTTTTCAACGTCTTTTGGTATGACGCGGCTGGGGATCAAACCCCGGACCTTCCGCTCTTTGGGCGGGCGCTCTACCATTAGACCACGGAGGCGATTAGTAGTAGTAGTAGTAGTAGTAGTAGTAGTAGCAGCAGCAGCAGCAGTAGTAGTAGTAGTAGTAGTGAATGTGTGAATAAGATTTAACGCCGCTTTGAACAGTATTCCAGTTATATCATGGCGTGTCAGATTATTGTCGGAGGAAAGCTTGAAGTGATGCAGGTCTCAGACATTTGCCATTTTGGTGAAACCTACGAGCACGAGTATATAATCGCACCAACTCACCGCACCCACTCACTCTCACACACTCACTCACTCACTCACTCTGGTGATGATAATGGGGTCGGCTGCAGCCCGGCATACAGTAATTATTTATAAAAATCGCATCTTGTAATAAACTACGGACAGGAAACAGTTGTCGTGGTTTACGATATGGCCATCGCGTACTCATACTCGTACTCATCATCCAGGCTGATGTAACATAGCGTGAAGTGGTAGGTGACGGGGTAATGGTAGGTGATGGAGTGATGGTAGGTGATGGAGTGATGGTAGGTGATGGAGTGATGGTAGGTTATAGAGTGATGGTAGGTGATGGAGTGATGGTAGGTGATTGAGTGATGGTAGGTGATGGAGTGATGGTAGGTGATGGGGTGATGGTAGGTTATAGAGTGATGGTAGGTGATGGAGTGATGGTAGGTGATGGAGTGATGGTAGGTGATGGAGTGATGGTAGATGATGGGGTGATGGTAGGCTATAGAGTGATGGTAGGTGATGGAGTGATGGTAGGTGATGGGGTGATGGTAGGTGATGGAGTGATGGTAGGTGATGGAGTGATGGTAGGTGATGGAGTGATGGTAGGTGATGGGGTGATGGTAGGTTATAGAGTGATGGTAGGTGATGGAGTGATGGTAGGTGATGGGGTGATGGTAGGTTATAGAGTGATGGTAGGTGATGGAGTGATGGTAGGTGATGGGGTGATGGTAGGTTATAGAGTGATGGTAGGTGATGGAGTGATGGTAGGTTATAGAGTGATGGTAGGTGATGGAGTGATGGTAGGTGATGGGGTGATGGTAGGTTATAGAGTGATGGTAAGTGATGGAGTGATGGTAGGTGATGGGATGATGGTAGGTTATAGAGTGATGGTAGGTGATGGAGTGATGGTAGGTGATGGAGTGATGGTAGGTGATGGAGTGATGGTAGGTGATTGAGTGATGGTAGTTTATGGAGTGATGGTGGGTTATCGGGTGATGGTGGGCGATGGAGTGATGGTATGTGATGAAGTGATGGTAGGTGATGGAGTGATGGTAGTTGATGAAGTGATGGTAGGTGATGGAGTGATGGTATGTGATGAAGTGATGGTAGGTGATGGAGTGATGGTATGTGATGAAGTGATGGTAGGTGATGGAGTGATGGTAGGTTATGGAGTGATGGTATGTGATGAAGTGATGGTATGTGATGGAGTGATGGTAGGTTATGGAATGATGGTAGTTTATGGAGTGATGGTCGGTTATCGGGTGATGGTAGGTTATGGGGTGATGGAAGGTTATAGAGTGATGATAGGTTAAAGAGTGATGGTAGGTGATGCAGTGATGGTGGGTGATGAAGTGATTGTTGGTGATGGAGTGATGGTAGGTTATGGGCTGGTGTGTGATGGAGGTGAAGGAATGAGGTGGCCGATGGTAGATTCCGCGTCGTTCCGGGTTTGAAATTGTCCCAAGCAACCTATATGGTCAGGATACTCAAAATATCAATCACGGGTTTGTCTGGGCCGCGGTCATATAGCTCGCATATTGCCGAGTGCAACGTTAAACACAAAACAAAATATTGACAGGTTTTATGTACTGATTAGCATGTTGTCATAACTATGTGGATCTATATAGATGACAGATTGCAGATGCAACGTAAACTATTAACTCACTCACACGTGTCTCGTAAGAAGACCCACTTGTCAGAAGCTAATACGTCACGAATGACGATTGACTGAATTAGGTAATACGTTTTTGCCCTGTTTATTGACTATCTGAGAGATATTCTATCTGACAAGTTGTCTGTGGGAATAAACAATTTTACACAACCATTTCATAAATACGATGGCCCATAAGGGACATGTAGTCTGTTTTTCATTTTTTTGATATTTCACTTACTGTTATCGTAACCTTTTGCAAATTAACACGATTTGTCATACAAACATGTGATAAATCATGTATAAAGAAGATTTTGAATCGCTGAAAAGAGAAGCGAAAATGTTAAAAAATAAAATGAAAATGTCAATTGGAAATATTATCACCGCGGTGTTTTGACATTTTCGCTCTTGTTTTTGACATTTTCATTTTAGTTATTGACCTTTTCGTTTTTGTTTTGGACATTTCCATTTTAGTTTTTGACGATTCAATAGAAAGTACATTTTCCATGTTTTCGGTTGTTTTTTACATGATTTATCACATATTTGTATGACAAATTGTGTTAATTTGCAAAAGGTTACGATAAAAGTAAGTGAAATATCAAAATATTGAAAAGCAGACTCCATGTCCCTTATGGCCCACCGTACATGAAGGCGAACAACGGGTAACATGAAACTCATTATCTAAATTCATATTTGGTTTAAATCAGTTAAAGCTTAGTCAAATACGTTTGCTACAATTTTAACTTTCATGTTATCATTTTTTTGGACCTTCGGCTCCTTTTATATCTGGGGCGGTGGAGTAGCCTAGTTGTTAAAGCGTTCGCTCGTCACGCTGAAGACCCGGGTTCGATTCCCCCTCATGGGCACAATGTGTGAAGCCCATTTCTGGTGTCCCCCGCCGTGATATTGCTGGAATATTGCTAAAAGCGACATCAAACCATACTCACTCACTAATTCACTCACTCCTTTTCTATCTCTTCTCATTATACATAGTTCAAGTTACTGTAAAATGAGGCAGGTCATACTATTTATAACCAACGTAAATCGAAATGATGAAAACAAAGCAATTTCCTTATTGAACAACGCGTGAAAGAGTGTGCCTCGTGGTCTAAACGAGACTTATGACGTGCACCTACAGTAGACCGTGTACATCAGACAACGTGTATGTGGCCGTACAACGTGCCGGCCTTATATACATGCTGATAGAAGTAAGGCTGCAGCATCGAGCACGTTGGCAGCCACGCAGACTTAAACATTGATGTACGCGAGGAGGCTCCCCTGCTGTACGATCATTATAGATATCGGTAGTAAGGATAAAATGTTTCGAGGTGATCGATTCCTTGCTCATCGGCGTGAATGTCAAGTAGAATTAATGTGCTAACTGAGACAAATTCATGTGTTTGTGTTCACAAATGTAATTGATCGGACGAGATTAACCGTGCATCACACGTTGGTGTATTACCACGTGGTTGCTGCGTGTGGCCAATGTCCAGATTGCCGGCGTGGATGGAACACGTTGTTTCCAATGCTCTGACTTGATATCTATTTTCATCATTCATATCCACATGGGTTAAGACAACGTGCAAAATTAATCAGTTCACATCGGGAAGCAAATGCGGTAGAACGTGTATGCCAGGCAGCTTATTAATAATCTATTTATAATAAACAGCGTCTAAATGTGATTTCATTCAGCCGCTGTCACGTCACCATGGGAATTTCACCCGACACCACTGCTGTGATTATAGGTTATTTGTAGCTTTGACAATGACATATATTTCTATTAAAATGAGTTAATGTTGTGTATCTGTATCATACTACTGAAAGATATTTTGAAACTACATTTTCCTTATATGTACAAATACAGTAAAGTTCGCTCAACTGCATTTTATTGGTGTTCCGTTTCGTTTGTTTGTTTGTTTGTTTTTAACGCCGCAATATTTCAGCTATATAACGGCGGTCTGTAAATAATCGAGTCTTGACCAGACAATCCAATGATTGACATCATGAGCATCAATCCACGCAATTGGGATACGATGCGTGCATCAACCAAGTCAGCGAGCCTGACCACCCGATCCTACATAGTCGCCATTCACGGCAAGCATAGGTTGCTGAAGACCTATTCTACCCCGGTGTATTAACGATATTCTTTAGCTTGAAAGGGCGGTCGGGTAACCTAGTGGTTAAAGCGTAAGCTCGTTACGCCGAAG